GGCCCCTGCACCGCCCTGCAGAGAGTGGGCGGCATCTAGTGTCCCCGTTTTACAGATGGGGAGACTTAAGGCCCGGAGGGTAGCGCGCTCACCCAAGACGCAGTGGAGCAGGGCTCCCCCCGTTCATTTCAGTTTGGCGCAGAAATCTCGTCCTGCATCCCGTGGGTGCTCAGCTGCTCAGCCCTGGGGACAGGGGGACCCAGGGAGAGCCGCAGGGACAGGTGCTGGGAGGGGGAGGAAGGCCAGGTTGCCGTGGGAACGCAGGGCAGGGGTGTACCCAGGCTTCTGGGAGGGGGTGAAGGAGGCCCCGCCCTGCAGGAAGGGGGGATGTTACCCAGGGAAGGGGTGGGAAGAAGGGGCAGCTGCTCAAGGAGGCACTTCCCGAGAAGTGCAAGTTACAGCAGCGGCCTTGGAGGGGCCCCAGAGGGGAGGATGCAGCCTGGGCCACCCCCCACTCCCCTCCCCGCGCCACCACCCTCCAGGCCTGGAGGACCCGGGGCAGGATGGACCCAGAAAGGCGAGTCAGGACAGGCTTTTACTCCTGCTCCTTCCTGCCTTTCAACATCTGTAAAATGACTCCCTTCACGTATTTGCACGTTCTCCACCCTTGTTCCCCCTACATGAAATCGAGGGCAAAGACGCCAATTTTATTGCACAAATGAATGTTATTTTCCCAGCTGTAACTGAACTTCCCTGGGACTCCAGGTCTGGAAAACAGGATCCTTTAAGTAAGTCTGGATGGGAGAGCCTGCTTGGTCTCCTCTGCCAAATACAGCGAGGGTGCAGGCCACGGCTTCACTGGCAGAAGAGCTCTCCCGGTGCCACATAAGAGGCCCGCCTCGCCGAGCCTCAGTTTCCTTTTCTGTGAGAACAGGGTTTGAGGTTGGCAGGGAGGCGCAGGGCCAGCCGCCAGCACCCTTCTCAGCCACTGGCAGACCCATGTGGGTGCGGCTTTGATGCTGGGTCCACACAGCGCCCCCTGGGCGGCCCCGGGGGCTGGAGGTGAAGGTCAGGTCCTCGGTGCCCTGGCTTCTTGGTGGCAGGCACCAGCAAACCCCAGGGGCCACCTGCAGGGGATGTGCCAAGGGAGGCCCCGCCTCCCCCCACCGGCACCAGGAGCACTCACATCTTCATCCAGCAGAGCTTCGTGGAGGCCTGCTTAGGACGCTCAGCTGTCCCTGATTTTCCACTTTCTCGTCTCTCCCCTGTTTTTCTGCTGGGACCAGCCTTTGTCCCTGAACGACCCGAAGGTGGAGGCTCCGGCGTGGGAAGCGAGGCTTTCTGAAGGCCTGGCGTGTGGCAGGGCTGGTGGCCTGGCGCTGTGACCACGGAGCCAGGCCAGGGTAGCAGCCTGGCGCCCAGGCCCGCTGCGTCACGCCGGGCCCTGCCTCTGTCTCGCTCAGGAAGCCTGCGCACTTGAGGCTGAGCTTCCTCTGCCTTCTTCCCCTCCGGCAGGCGAGTGCAGAATGTCCACACGGGGCTGGACCTGGCCGTGCCGCAGCACCAGGAGGTGCGGGGCAAGATGATGTCTGGCCACGTGGAGTACCAGATCCTGGTGGTCACCCGGCTGGCTGCCTTCAAGTCGGCCAAGCACAGGCCCGAGGATGTGGTCCAGTTCTTGGTGAGCTGGGGGTTCTGCCAGGGTGTTCCCGAGGGGGCCCGGGGTCCAGGTGGGCAGGCACACCCGCCGCCAGGGCATGGGTAGCATCGGGGAGCGGGCACTTCTGTAGCCAGCCGTCACTTAGGGCCTGAGAAGGCCAGAGCGTGCCGGCACTGCATGAGCTGGTAAAGAGACAGATGCAGATGGGGGCTGGGGGAGTATAGCAGAGGGGCACATAGCCTACCCTGGGGAGAGGGTCCCGGAAAGGGCTGTGGGCTCCCACACAGGGTTACAGGATCTCTGCACCAGGGGCCTGCAGCCCACCAGCTATGCCAGCATTTCAGCGGGTGCAGCCCTGGCCTGGGAGTAGAAGTGAGAATTTTTGCGTCTTCTTACTCGATGCTCCCACAGAGCAGGTGGGGACACCGCCCCGGCGATGGGGAAAACACAGAGGCGTTGAGGACGGGAGGTGGCAGGGAGGCCGCTGGGCCACTGG